AGGATACAATATCAAAGCTTTAGGGTTTTGAACTGGCTCAAAAGATATATGGGCCACATACCATAGATACGTTTGCTGCACATCATAATGCACAACTATCGAATTACAGGACTTTAAATCATCCTATGGGAGACGCCTTTTAAATAGACCTCACCCAACATAATGCGTGGGCTAATCCACCATGGCAGTTAATTGCCCAGCTATTAAATTAAGTTCATATACATAAAGCTACCATCACATTGTGTTGCCCATTACGGAGTAAAGATCCATGGCTCAATAAATTGATCAGCATGATTCAATGCGAGCCAATATATTTAGATAGGGAAGTAGATACTTTCCTATATCAGGGTACCCGAGTTGTCCAGAAGACGCACTGGAGACATACTATTATATGTCGTTTAGGTCCCATTGGAACAACCAAATGGACCCCTTCTGACAATCCTGAAGCGTATACACATATAATGCGACTATTTAATAAGTCAGGTGTATCTAACGCACATGAGCGCGATTATGACGTTCATGAAAAAACAGGACAGGAGTCTGAAAACACTACAGACTTAGAGACCACGCAAGTGAATTCTCAACACCCTACCTCTAAACCCTAAAAGAGCAGAATGATGAAAACATTCTTGCTTGGCTGAAGCAACATCATAAGCTGAAGCACCAGAACGTAGTAGAAGCACTTGAAGATGATAAGCGACATGGGATCGCGCACCCTAAGCTGCCAACTTTAGTTGACAGAGTATATCAGCCATGTACAGACTGTGATCTCAATCAGATCAAGCGCTATGGGTTCGCACCGCTTAAGAGTGTGACTGAAGATGTTCCATGGCGCAGGGTCATCATTGATCTGGTTGACCTGCCCACGTCCGAGCACACAGGCGACCGTTACGTATGCCACTTCTTTGATGTGGCATCACGGTTTAACTTGCTCTATCCAATAAAGAACAAGAATACGCAGACCGTGGCAGAATTATGTTGCCAAGTCTTTGCTGATCACGGGTGGCCAGGTATTATGTGCACTGATAACGGTAGTGAGTTCTGCGATGACGTAATGGAATCGCTAGTACTCGTATCAGGCATACGCCTTAAAAGAGGTGTGCCATATAAGCCGCAAAGGCAAGGCGCGAATGAAGCGCGCCATAGAAGACTTAAGTTCTTCTTGCGTGCTGCATTAACGGATGATTTAGATGATTGGCCGTACCACTTTAAGTGGGTACAAACACAGATGAACGAGTGTGCTGATCCGGTTACAGGAACTACACCCGCTCACTATTTTCGTGGCAGATATAGTGAGTTACAAATCCCTTTTAACAAGGACGAACCCGATCACCATGAGTTACCATGGTTAGAGAAGGTACAACGTATTTATAACGTTGTATATCCTTGCTTGCGAGAAATACGCAATATAGCCTTACTTTAAAGGCAAAAGCGTTGGAACACTACCAAGAAGATAGCAGAGTATCAGGTCGGTGACAGAGTTAACATCCGTTAACAGAATTCCGATGTACAGTTTTAACATCTAAATGGTTAGGTCCATATATAATCTCTGTAGCAGACACTAAAAGTGGAACGTACGAGGTAAATAACCCCGATGGTTCTAGTGCGCTTAATATAGGCACAAGTCGTATTCCGACTACAGAAATTATACTCGCAAGAAGACATGACTCTAATGCCCCTCTTGATCGTTTTGAATTTAAAGACATTATATGGAGAACGGATAAGAGAGGCTATACATACTATCGTAAACGCTTTATTGACGGTACAATAGCTGAGTTGACTTCATATGCTTTCGATAATCAAGACTATTTAAAAGCCTTTAATCGAAAATGGCGTAAACGCCTGCATAAGTCACAAGCTGAAAAAGATAGCATGTTCCATCGTCTGAAGGCACGGAAGTTAAAACTTATCTGCCTACAGCATTTATCCCGAGCTTTAATGCTCATCCTTCATATGTGCTTAAGACACTGAAGCGTAAGGAACGTCCAGTCGACCACCACGGACCTACTGGACCTAAGCCCAAAACTCACAGGGTAACCGAGAACACTTAACTTCTCCGCCTGAGAAACATTAACTATATGTTATGCTACTTAATGTTTCGACCAGTTTTTCCTTTCTCGCATTTTGACCCAAAATCAGCTTGAGTGAGCAACTTGCTTCTCGTGGGTCTCAAAGCTGGGTGGGGGCTGTGTAATAGCCGGGCCTCCACATTAGACTCTATGTATAAACGTACTCTTAAGCAGTACGCAAATTATAAACGTACTCTTAATAGTACGAGGAACTTAAGTTTCCTAAATGTACTCTTAATAGTACGAAGAAATTAAGTCTCCTATATGTGCTCTTAATAGCACGAGGAACTTAAGTTTCCTAAAATGGGGTTTAATGGTTTTATTAATTAAACCTTTTCCATTTAACAGATCAGATATTTGGATGAGGCCATTAAAAGGCCTCAGTAAAATAGCAAACATAAAAGAGTTGGTCTAGTTCTATTAATAGAGCTTTATTTACTTTCCAATTTTATTTATATCTGAAAACTTCGGTAGCGAGATGGCTTAACCGAATATAGGTTTCTAGGGACTATTAACGTTACCTAGTTGATCCTCCGATAAGCCAACCAGATGTGCCAGTCTGATGAAGGCTAAGTCGGTAATTCTTGATAGGGATAATATTATTTAGTTCAAAAATGGCAAGTATGTATTATACAATGTATGAACATATGGTATGGCTCTCATAGTCGCTGTAGTGGTTTAAGAAAGATTGATTGGAAGAAGTGGTCAGTAAATTCCCATTTGAAGCTTGGGCCAAGTGAGTCGACAATGGAAGATATGTGCTGAGTCAATTCGGGCCGGTGTTGAGAAAACACTGTTACTATCGAATGTTCCATATATTTGCTTGCTGACCTACTAAGTAGAATACCCACCTCTGTGGTACGGATCGTGTCTGCGCCGTGTAGTGCCGCGGAATGGGTTAGTGCAGAGTACGAAATACCGAGAAGGACCAGGTTATCCGTCATAATCCGGTCGAGAAGCGAGGATTGGAGTAAGCCTATGCCGCACCAGACCACGGATGGTATGTGTTGGTTGGCCTGGATATGAAGTATCATAGTCGGAATCAACAAGAGCGATGATTTGGTTTGAACCGATATTTGGAAGTAGTACTTTAACAGCGTGATTAGCTGGGGTATAGGGAACATCTGATGATGTGCCAGGGACGGGTGAGGGTACGGTGGTTCTTCAACATGCTGAAGAAAAGATCCAAGGTGTTCGTGGAGGATCCAGATACCGTGGAAGTCGTGGCACTCCTGTAATTGCTGAAGAAGGTCAGGGCCAATGGGCGGCAGTTTCGGGCCTACCAGATAGTTGTTGGATGCAGGTAAAGTGACTGGTAGTGAACTTGTGGCTACCGGGGCAGACAGGGCAGAGACAGCCGTCAGTGCGGTAGTCGAGCAATGTGAACATGTACATAGTCGTTACAATCATAGCACAGAGCCGGATTTGTGTAGGATCGAAGCAGCGATTGAAGCTGTCGTGTCTGGTTGTGTCTCGGTTTGAAGTTGGCCGTTTACTCATAACCAGTTGGTAGTAGTATTGGCGCCAGGCCATTGCCGCGATATCCTTGTTGGACCAACGTTTTGTTGAGTTCTTCCTGATGTCGTCACAGCGTTGGCGGAGGGCTACAGGGTCGGGTGTACGCCCGCCCGTTGTTTTGTGTACAATTTTCAGGTGAGCATAGATACTGTACGGGAAGCGCAGTGATGGTTTATCGTGGGCCCAGGCGGGTTGCGTCAGAGGGGTTAGTGGATTTGTGCTGGCCATTGAGTCGAGTTTTATTCCCAGGCAACCTCCGAGGTAGGGATAATATTATTTACTTCAAAAATGGCAAGTATGTATGATACAATGTATGAACATATGGTATGGCTCTCATAGTCGCTCTGTGGTACGGATCGGGTCTGCGCCGTGTAGTGCCGCTCCGCGAATGGTCGCGCGGGGAGCAGGCCGCAAAAGTGATGTTCGCAGTCTTAACAAATCTCAAAATATTGATGAGGGTTTTTTATATCACCTATTTTTACATTTTATAATCTGCCTATCAAATTAGTTCGGTACTTCAACTTCCATAATTTTATACCGACAATTCAGTTTACTACCGAGCTCACTCCCTTCGGGGAGTCATGCTTCACAAGTTATTTGATATTTATGAAATGGCAACTAGTAGAGTACAAATGGCTTTTTATGTTAAAATTTATGCTCCTGGTGGAATAAAAAGTTATCTGTTGATATACTTCATAGTTCATAACTTCATAACTTCTGTTCTTAAAATAAATTTTTTGAGGCTATGTATCTGTTTTTGGATTTTTAAAAATAAATAAATAAAAACTAGTGTTTTCCCGGCTTCCCTTCCTCACCCCGGCCCCCGTCGGTCCCCCGCCCCCCATCCAAAACTTGTTTTCAGAAAGGTGATGTGAAAAAAATGTGATTCAGGAATCAGGATTCACCGATTCAGGGGTACAGGACTTCTAAAGGTCCAGGACTCAGTCTTGAACTTTGGACTGTCTTTTAAAAAATAGGTATGTATTTACATACATACATGGCACGAGTGGTTTTTGTTTAAAAAAGAACTTCAAAGAACAGCAAAATGTCCTTTTTGTTCCTTGTTACATTGATTTTAAAAAATAACAGACAACTCGAGCCTCGAGCCCTCGAGCCTCGAGGTCTTCATCTATTTATAGTAGGACTGTCTAAGCCTCGGACTTGGGTCTTGTGGTTGGGGTCCTTGGACTCCTGGGAATAGTTTTTGTTTTTTTCCTCCATAAATAGCCTTCTAAATTCTACCAAAAATGAAAAACCCCACCTTTTTCTAAAAACAGAATCTGAGTAGCTCCTACGGCTACAGGTCTATGTATTTACAACTGTAGAGTCTAGAGAGTGAAAACTGATCATTTGAGTGTCTGATTGGGTGAATATATAAACTAGCTACAAATGTGTTCAAATCAAAGTACGAGACGATAAAAATCATAAGTATTCACTGATATATATAGTTTGATTGAAAATACATGTTGTCTGCAGCCTGCACTCTGCACTCTGCAGCAGTCGGCTGACTCTGTTCTCTCTTGTGTTTTGACTTTTGTACCACGAACAGTATTTATAATCGACAGAATAGTCTTGAAAATATGCGCAGGGACACGGCACATAGCCTCCTAAAATAATTACAGCGACCTTTATATTTTTTTGTCGTTCTGTTTTTAAAATATAGGCTGTTGAACTATTTCAAAGCACAACAGCTAAAGTGATCAATAACACGGAACTTCGTAAAGTGATTGCTTGCACACCTGGGTAAATAGAGGGGTATTACTTCACAATCACTATAAAAGAGAACGGCTTTCAATCCACACAGAACGGTTTAAAAGCAAGTTCTCATACGACCCTCATTCATCTGCGTGCCCCAATATGGCACAACTCATCTCGAAGGTGTCAGTCAGCCGAACGTTAGACACATTTAACAAACAGAGAAGTCTGGATGTACCCGTATCACTGACGTCTCTTGGGTCACCTGGCTCATTCAGCTTTGATGAGTTACAGTTTTGTTCTACATGTCTGGGTCTCGATATGGTTAACGATGCGGCTTCAGCACCTAATCGCGTGACAGAAGTGAAACGAATCGAATACATTATGAAGACCGATGTAATGGACGTAGTAAAGAGCACAGAAGCACCTTTATGGGTTTCCATTGAAAGATCGCGACCCAGTTTATCAACCAACGAGAGTTATCAAAATTATATAAGTGGAAGTCGAAGTGAGGATGTATTTAGTCAAACTTCAACGGTGAAAAGAAGCGGTACAAAGAGGCTTAAGCAGATTTTTTCTGCTAGTTTGACAAGCAAACACAGTAAGGGCAAGTAACTGGAGAGATAACGGCACTTGAACGCTTGACGGATGTTTTGGTGTTTTACGTGAACCAGAGTTGAACATGGGCAGGGATTTTTTTCCGAAGAGAACGAAAGATTTGCGTGCTTTCCAGTCGCAATTTAGAGTTGCGCTCGCGTACAAAGAACTGTACAGCGCAATTTCCCCCCCCAAATGGAATGAATTGCTTGTGTGCTTTCCAGTCGCAATCACGAGTTATGCTCGCGTGCAAGGGACTGTTCAGCGCATGTACAATCAAGTTCAAAATGCCGTTAGTCTTATCGTCGAATGGAGGTTCATATCAGCTACACTGAGATTCGTGCATTCTGCGGATGACCATTAACAACTGCTTAACAGTAATAGGGATCTGTTAGATGGCATGGTAGTCAGAGTGAAGTTAACTAGTGTAGACTGACTATGTGGATTACTCAGTTCAAACAACAAGTACATCAATATCTACGGACCTCGCCATTATCGACCTGATATCTGGGGCTGCTCAGTTTCGCAATTTTAGATAGCCCTCGATTTGAGTGAAGCGTGTCAAAAACCTCATGGATGACCCAATTGTATCATCGTCATTGGATGTGTTAGCTTGAATTTCAACAAGCATTACCATCGTAAAGATTGTATTATCATACCAAGCATGGCTTAAATTACATTTTTAATAAATTGTTGTAAGGAATAACAATCTGAAATTTCAATTGGCAGTTGGATATAGTGAAATTGTGGTAATAATGGACTTTATGATCGTGAAATTAATTACGGTCATTAACAACCTGACGTATTCTTTGATGCAAACTGCTCAGCCAATACAGTAGTGATGCTCAATGTAGAAGATTTGTTTAGGTGCTGCAGCTCGACTCAATCTTGAAAAGTTCCAGAGGTATGAGATATTGTTAGAATTGTATACATTTCTTTGCGTCCTATAGGATTTACTAGACGGCTTCATGAAAAGAAGTCAAGGTATCCAGTCCTACGGTTTGAACTTCCTGCACAGCCAATAGAGATCTTAGTGATCACATACACAATGAAAATGAATCACAGCCTTCTCAATGACCCGTTGAATAAGTCAGATATCATGTGAACCCCCAAAGTGAGAGGTACAGAGTACCACAAATCAAAACATATGGGATTCAATGGTACACTAAGGGATAGCTTGTCATAAGCATGCTAGACACACGGGAGATTACATCACTGGAACTTTCATAGGGAGTGGTGGCACTCGAGGGGACCTACGATCGTGGAGTGCAAAGCTTGCTCCCGAGGGACCTACCATCCGAAAGCAGGGATGTAGCATAAGAGCCATCCTTCCTGAAGGCGGGAGCCCACTTGGGATTCAATAGTGACTGTATCAAACTTCGAAGCAAATTAAGAACACTGCCTCTGAGCTCAATCAAAATTTTATACTTTATATATACTTTTGCCGGGTTGAACTTATATCTTAATGGGGAGTGTTCGCATGCTTTCCTCAAGATATAAGAGTAGTGATGTAGCCATGAGCTATTTGGAATGATAAGGTATAGACTTCTTCAGGAATGATGCCAACAATCTTTGAGGGCGCGCGCTGTATTCCGACAATGTCTCGGCGCTTGCTGGAACCTGCAGTGAATGCGAGCGTACAGAGGGACGTGAATCGCATGCGTGCAAATCATTGTACTCGCAAGTGTTTCAACGTGCTTCAGGATATACCAATTTAAATATGCAGTACAACATTCAACCATTCTTCTTGCTCAAATATTGCGCAGCATTGAGTAGGGTACCACATACAACAAAAGGCAAAATATGAAGGAGCGACTACACACCTGATCGCCTTCCAATCTATTTAAAAGAGCTACGGCCACCATTGCTGCGGGTATTCCCAGACGATGTGTAAAGGAGGCGAATTGGAGGGATTCCATCTCGATATTTCTAACACCTCCCTTATGTGCTTTCATAAGGAAGTCCATCTTATTCTTCCCGACATAATCACAAATAGCACCGTCCAAGCGACCCTGTCCTTCGTAGAAATCATCAGTCGACATGGTTTTGCCCCGGACAATTGGTGTATCCTCATCCCAGCAGGATGCTGCGCAGGTGATCAACGGTCGATCGTGACAAATTCAGTCTTATGTACAAATTTTTAAAAAACACAATCGGAAAAATGAAAATGAAAACACCACTTTACCATGAATAATTATGACTTCTCAACAATAAATCGAGCTCTTAAAACTCACCGATTAGATCACCAAGATCATCATTGAATTCAGAAGTGCGTTTGACCTCCTACACGGTCGAGAAAGAAGAGATTGAGTTGAAATGCTGGAGAGGGAAAGCATGGTACAACATGTGTACTCATACGAAATAGAAGCACGATGAAGGATCCCAATAATCATATTGAAGCTTATTCTTTTGTCTCCAGTACACGTAAAATTCATATAAAACACGATTCACCCCACCTCGCCGAGGATCGTGCATCTCTGAAATGGCTCCAAAGATCCATTGACGGCAGTAGTAGTGACAACTACACTCCCAGGCTCAACACCAACTCCTCCAGAGGTACCTAATTACCGAAATAGTCAAATATTGGACTCACTCAAAGATGGGTTGGTATCGCCTTCATACGAATCAATGCGCGAAACTATTTCACACAAAGATTGCAGACAAAATTCGAAAAGGTTAATTACATACCCATACGGACCATTGACACGCCGGTGGCCCCGGCGTACGCCAGTAATTTGGTTATTTCATGAAGCAAGATGGAGATTGAAGGCATTCCCATACCATGCTGATATATAGTGGAATGAGGTAAACAACACGAAAGTGTAGTGTTAGAATACTGAGATGATCAGCAACATATTCAATCAATGCAAATTGTGACTCAGAAATACAATTCCGCGGTTTGGCACACCAGCCCAATCAAGAAGTGAAGCACACTTACACTGACTGAGAGCACCGGTCCGACCTTAAACAAACTGTATCGATCTGTGGTAGATAGATCCGCCAATTGGGCACCGGTTGGAAGTTTGACACCCGCAGCCTCCTTCAAACTATTTGCAAATTTTTGCATTCGCCCAGAAGATCCTCCAGTGAATACATACTATGTTGTAATAGAATGGAATTCGAAGCTGCTAAACACCGCAGCAGTAAACGCACAAGTTCAATTCGATATAAATCTCAAGACATAAAACGCACTAATGTCAATAAAAGATATATCACAAGGTAGAACACGCACTGATGCCATGACGTCACTATTAGATTCGCATATTATTAAATTTCACTATCAATACGCAAGCAACACGTGAGGATGTATACGACATATTACCTTTCGTTGATCTAGACAGAACTTGTGAATATATGACAAACAACCCAATGGAAATAAGTAGTAGTAACAGCGCTACCAAGCAGGACGCAGCGAGCTCAATTATACCCTGACTAGGTGAAAGTCAAGCTGAATCGAGCACCGACTTGTCTCGATTCAGCTTAACTTTCATGATGTATCTTAATTTCACTTAAGAACCCTATAGAGATGCCGTTGTGACGACTATTTTTCACAGAACATACGCAGACGACATAATTATTTTCTATATCAGACTTCCAGAATCTCAAGAAATAGAAAACAACTATTCCTACCTTGACATCGCTGAACAGGGATACCAAATCGTCTGTCGATGCGTAGCCGATGTGGTATAAGAAATCATTCGGCAGACTGCTGATATGTGGGTTCTGAATCTCGATTATTCGTTGACGCTGCTCATTGTAAAAGGTCTCTGCTAACTTGGCAAAATCAATCTTTTTGTTGTCTTTGCCAGTATCCAAGTCAATACTCACTGCATCGCTATCACTTTGCGTGTGTGCACGGGCCCTATTCAACTGGTCATCGAACGCGCTATTCAAATCGTCAAAACTTTCAACAAGCCTTTCCATCTTTGCGTTAATCGATCGATCAAGTTAGTTGTAGATGAAATGTGTATTTTACAGATTGTATCCGCATTAAATATACCAATGTAGAGAGATTGAGAATACATATTTTTAAAAAACAATCTTGTGTTTACTTCACGAAAGTAACGGAAGGATTATGGATAGTTTTTACCCAAAAATAGGTTTGAACTTTTCCTTTCACAGTTTTACAAAGAAGGAATGTTTGTACAATGTTTTGTTTGCTTTTTATTCTGTATGTTTATTTTTTTTATCACAAAAAGAGCAAAAAAAAGAAATAAAAATATTAAAAAACAATAGAAAAAGTCGCAGAAATGGTTGTTCATGGCCTTCTTGGGACTTTTGGCAGACTACTAGCACACACAAGGCAGTCGTGTCGATTCGTGCGATTTGGGCCAGTGTGGGGGCTCACTGGGCTGTGGCCAGACTTCAATTCGTTTCACTTTTGGTGAAAACGTAGTACGTTTTACGTTAACGCTCAGGTTTGAAACCGTTTTCCCGTTTTCAGATAGTTTACTGGGAGCAAATTCTAAAAACCAATTTTGTTTGGATCTACCTTATATGGCCTAATTAATAGCTGTTATGTTTTGACAGTAGAAAATCTGTCCAAATATCAACAACTCGACAAATATTTTGGTGAAATATAGTTGGCGAATTATGTCAAATATAAAGGCGGGCACAAACCAAGACCCTAAAACGCATGAAAACGTAGTACGTTTTACGTTAACGCATCAATTTGAAAGCGTGTTTACGTATTACGAATTGATGTCTGGCTGTGGCCCTGTGGCCTGTGGCCTGTGACTCTGTGGGTGTGAAGTGTGGGCTGCGGGCTTGTGGCTAACTCTGGGGGGTCGCTGACTCTGGCAGTTCAGCCTGCAGCAGTGGTGAGTGGTAACTGGTGAGTGGTGACTACTGGTGAGTATTCCGCTATCACAACAACCTGTGTCTGGGTCCTTTTTTTAAAAGATAAATACTGACAGAATTTTTACTGAAATCTGCAAAAAATAAATATTATTGTTTGTTGTTGTTTGTTAAATTTTTTTTTAAATGAACCAAAAGCAAACAAGAGTGACCGCCTGACCGGTGAGTGGTGAACTGGTGATTGACCAGTTGGACTGAGCTGGTGACATACCGCCTGTTCGCCTCATCCTCAGGACAGTGGTGACTGGTGAGTCGTGAGTCGTGACCTGATGAGTGACAGGACTCTGGAGTCTGGACTTCTGGAGTCTGGTCAGTGGTCAATCGGTCATTCTCTGAGTGGTTGTTTGTTTTTGTTTTTAAAAGAAACAAAAGAAGAAGAAAAGATACTAAAAAGAGAAAAAGTACATTTGTATGTAGATACTCGAATAGTCGAATAGAAGGACTAGTAGAAACTTAAAAGTTCATGACTCATGGAAATTTGCTAATTATGTGGCAAAATAATTAAATATGGTAACTAAATATTAACCAATGACTACTATCAAACTTGAGAATGCCTTATATGGTATCAAAAGTAAATAGACCGTGGCGAGTTGGCTCACAGGCTCACTGGCTCACAGGCTCACAGGCTCACAGGCTCAGGTTTCAGCCGCTCAGGCTTCAGCCGCTCAGGCTTCAGCCGCTCAGGCTTCAGCCGCTTAGGCTTCAGCCGCTCAGGGCTCAGGGCTCAGGCCCGTCAGGGACAGCTGACTCCTCTCATGCGATAAAATACATTCGTTTTGCAAAAACTTAAAAAAAAATTTGAAGAATAGAAAACTAATATGCATAGCCAAAGGCCCATAGCCCATAGCCCTCTAAATTGAACACATAAGAGCACGGCCCTCTGGATTAGGGTCGCGAGCAGAAATCAGGTTTCGTCGTAGCGGAAATCGTAAATTCATCAGAGACCCTAATCCAGATTCCAGAGGGCCATGATAAATGTCAAAAATACTGTATTTTGTCTACTCTCTCACTCTGTATTACTAGCTAATATTTTAAAATATTAGTATTTAGTAGTAGAGGGTCATGGACTTAAAGACTCATGGTCTCATGTCTCACTCACGTCATGGTAAACAAACGCAGGTGGGGAACAAGCTCTAATTTATTTAACGCTTGTTGAGAGAACTTAAGAAGTAGGAGAACAAGAATAAAAGGATAACTTGACTTACACAAGGGGAGGATGTTTGATATAAGCTCAGGAGATTCTTAGCAGAGAAACCGATTGGTAGTTTGAGGTCAACCGAGCTCACGCTCGTATTTTGACTCAAGCATTAAATTAGCGTCCATTTCAGTGGATAAATTGAAAATATATCTCGTATTCCAAGGTGCAATTGTTGCGCCTTCACTAAGTGCGCCTATAATAGAGATTATAATCAATCCACAAATCACACACTGCATTTTATATCATCGAACGTTTACACACAATATGAAAATGATCATGTGCAATTTTGTAATACTCTACGTATGCAAAAATTTACAATCACTATACTCTGGGGTTTATTAATAAGGGACAAGGCGCAGAAGCGCTCAAAGTGATAGTGATATACAGTGACTAAAGCATTCAAATCAATTAGAGTTTATATAAATATATACAAACACACGCACACACACACATATATATACATATATATATATATACATATATATACAAACATATACACAAATATACA